TTGTTAAAAAAAAAATTGTATTTTTCTCTTTGCTGCTAGCTGTTAGCTGATCCCACCCCTCCTGGCCGAGCCTTTGTTCGCCCGCCTGTCCTGATGAAACTGAAAAAGCCTCCGGGCCACCAGTAATACTTCAATCATAAAAAAGTAGGTAGTTAAGAGCCCATAGACAAAAATATCAGTACCTACCTTAAGACACGAGGCCGAACTCTCAATTTAATCTCTATAAAGATCACGTCACCTTAACCTGAACCATCCGCATGCTTAGTTCACGACAGAAATGGTACCTACATGTACAGTCCACACAAATGGATAACACCATTCTTCCTATCTATATATTAATACGTCATGCAAAAACTTTGTATCCATTTTTACGAAAATTGCGCGGACGGAGGAGTATGAAATTTTCCACACTTATAGAAAATATAGAGAAGAAGTGCACAATACTTATATTTTTTAAAAAAATAATGCATAAAAGATACATTAAATCAATAAAGAAAACATTACACACACTACATACCATGTATTTGACGCACACACGCAATCATACTATTTATTGTCAAACTTTTGTTCTTGACGTCTGTTGTCAAATTGAGAATAGAATATGGTTTGTCTTTGTTAATATTTTTTATAGTGTAGTCTTGGCGAAATTTGTGATTATAGAAGTATAAAGTACAATCTTAATAGTGTACAAACTTACAATTCTAATTAATTATAGTCTAATTTCGACTACTGCGGGATCTCTAGTATCATTTAAAATACAAAGATTTTAGACTGGTATTTCTTGGTGTATGCCCAAATTCGCAATGTAAGTATCCATGGACTATCCAATAACCAGTTAGCATCAAGCGAACCATGAGCTCGTAAGGGTCCCATAGCCGAGTGGTAGTCATCTACGTCATTAAAATATTGAACGAAAACAGTCAGTGAAAGCTAAAATAAGCAATTTGTCGCCCGCCAAGTGTTTAGGCAGCGCTTTGTCGAGGCATAAGGTCGAGTGAGTCTCTTTGAGACTGCTTTGAAGGCGTCCCCTCAAAAGAACCAGTTACGTTTAGATTAATGAGTATGTGCTACACTCAATGAACTTAAGATGCTTGCTTTGAGCTAACTCGGTACGTTCAAGTCGATTTTACTTTCATAAAATCTGTTTACTGGTATTCTGGGAGCCAAGACAAGTAGGACCCACAGCACTGTCTATCTCTACCGCATAAATGGCCTTGAAGGGTGAAACTACTGTTATTATAATGTCACAATTAAAGTACTTAAAAATGTTTTTACTTACAAGAAACCGTAAAAGCACTTAAAGTATTTAAAAGACTTTTACGGTCTTAATCGGTTTTAATTAAAAGTACTTTTACCGCCTCGCGTTTTTTTATCTTTCAAATATTTTACAGTTCATAACTTTCTTCTATTAATAAAAAAGTCTAGAAGTATTTTCAAAATGAAAAATAGACGTTTTTTTTACTATAAATAATATAAATATCGACGAATAATGCCTTAGTTGTCCGTGACCAAGAAAACCATAAAGTAGTCGAAACGAAAATAATATAATAAATGGCAATAAAAAATGGAAGATGAAACCGTAAAAATAGTTTTAATCGTGTCTATCAATCGCGTAATCATGTTTGTTCTCTTTTCAAAATCAGATCATTCTAATGCCTTTATTAAAATCGATAGACAAATAAACTCAAAGCCCACCTGTGGTTGTTGGAGTTCCGAGATAAAGACGTGGATCCTGCTACCCAACACCGAACGTGAGATTGTATTTTCGATGGCATTGATAAATGCTAATTAAGTCACAAAGCCTACTTCACGCTGATAATGGTTCGGATGGCGGTACCTTTTTTTTAATGCTTATATGGGTGGAAGAGCTCACAGCCCACCTGGTGTTAAGTGATTACTGGAGCCCATTGACATCCACAACGTAAATGCGCCACCCACCTTGAGATATAAGTTCTAAGGTCTCAGTATAGTTACAACGGCTGCCCTACCCTTCAGACCGAAACGCATTACTGCTTCACGGCAGAAATAGGCAGGGAGCTGGTACTTACCCGCGCGGACTCATAAGAGGTCCTACCACCAGTAAAGTCCTAGTCTGGGTGGCGAATTATATTAGGCGGATCATGAGTCAGCCGATTCCACGAACGTGAAATATAATCTAGCACCACGTAGTTTTAATTCTCGAAATTGCTTCGCACCACTAACTGCGCCAATCCCACCACAGACACACATTTTCATTAGAGATGCAGACAGTTGAATTGTACAACCGATTTGAATAAACTTGTTCTTTGGGATCAGTTACGTGTACGGAATGTAATCGCTATTTCATTCCAAGCCGGGTTACTGGTTTTTACTGATGATAGGGCACATTTCGATAAGACGTCCGGTGCATTCGTCTTGAGCGATGCACCAGTGTTCGAACCCCAGGCGGGTATAATTTTTTCTAATGAAATACGTACTCGACAAATGTTCACGATTGATTTCCACGGTGAAGGAATAACATCGTGTAATAAAAATCAAACCCGCAAAATGTCTCTTGTGAGTCCGCGCGGGTAGGTACCACCGCCCTGCCTACTTCTGCCATGAAGCAGTAATGCGTTTCGGTTTGAAGGGAAAAGCAGCCGTTGTAACTATACGATCGATCGATCTATGAGATCTTAGAACTTATATGTCAAGTTTGTTGGCGCATTTACGTTGTAAATGTCTATGTGCTCCAGTAACCACTTAACACCAGGTGGGCTGTGAGCTCATCCACCCATATAGTAATAAATAAATAAAATACATTTTGGGACCGCTCTATTATCGTGATTATTTATACGGCAAGGTAGTCACTCAGTCCAGTTTGAAGAGTAGGATAGCAGCCATGCTAGTTTGACTTCAAGTCCAAAGTTGGATGGCACTATGACGTCGTGAATAGGTTCCACAAATCAATGAAGAACAGCCCGCGAAGTAATATAAAACAGATAAAACTTCAACGCGTTTTGGAAATCGGTTAAAAATATGGTTAATTCTGACTTTAATACAAGCGAAACCCGGGGCAAAACTATTATAAAATTACTATAACATTTTTAAATCCGAAATTGTACGAAGTTAATTTATTTATAAAAAAATATATTAAATACATGAATAAACCATTTATTTAGACCCTAAGTACACGATGCGCAGACGGCCCCCCACTTTTTTGTCGAGAGCTCCAGACTGGTGCCAATTGCTATAATGTGCAACAGAAATTGTTATTGCGTCACACAATAACCCTCCACGCTTCGAGAGTTATGCAAATGTGTGTTCCAGGTTCCCGTCGACTTGCACACGTTTGTTCTAATTGAATCTGATCTCTCTGTCTCCATAGCCGCTGAACTAAAACTTTAAAATTTACTAGATACAAATAAAATAATAATCTTTTCTCTTTGTTGCAATATAGACGTTTGTAATATTGACATGACAACGTCTTATAATTCGATGGAGCCGGCTGCACGCACGAAAAAAGATGACTCATGCGGCGTTACCTCGCTCTGAGGCGTTCCATTGAAGTGCAAGCGAGAGCGCGCAACGAGCGACAAAGAGACACAACACAGGCCTCCGCGTCCGGCAGCGTTCGACATTTCTCTCTCCTACTTGAGTGAGCGATGCATCGGCGTGGACAACTGCTATACAATAATACATTTACATGTTTTCGTCAAGTATGAAGTTCAGTGAAAAGTGAATGTGGTGTCAATTGTCCATACAAAATATCTATCAAACAAATAAAATTAAAATTTTCTTTTGAAAAATTAAACCATTCCATCAGTATTTTCTTATGACGTTGTCACGTTCAACTATCGTCAGTAAACCGACTTTACAGACTACCGATTTTTTTTTACTTCGCTTTCAGATCATGGGAACGAGTAGACCAAAAGACGATGACTACCAAAACATAGCAGTGACCTAAATGACAATAAACTTATACGAAATAAAAATACAGTCTCTGGAGTCATTATTCACACCACGAACTCCACATTTGTTAGGATAAAGAATGGATATGGGATAAGGAAACTGAAAACGAGGAAAACAAAAGGATCTCCGAAGGATTTTATTAATTGATGTAAATAGGCCGACGTGCTCACGGACCACCTGCTATCAAGCAGTTACCACAACCAGAGGTCGGGATCTTCAACTCAAAAAACAATACGTGTTGTACTTTTGATTTTAATCTAATTTATTTTTCCTATCTAAGCCTTTAGAGAGCGGATAGGTGACCTGGCGTGCTCAGTGAGAGAATTTACTAACACTAGCTCTAGCAAGAGCAGTAGTACACAGAATCTACCACCGGTTCGGAAACGCGACCCACTGAGAAGATCCGGCGAAAAGCTCAGTGGGCTTTAATCTACTTTCAATCTGGATCACGAGGTCCAAAGGATGGGATATAGACAACTAATACTGCGAAATGTTTCAAGTCTATGACTATATTTTGGATATAGCGTTCTCTTAACATCACATGAGTCTGTAATATGATAAAAAAAAAAAAAGTATAAAATCACACCTTAAAAGTTTTCACAGAAAGCTGTGCCAGTACACAAAAGATTTATTCCGTGTCCGAAGTCTCTTCGCCTAATTTATGATATATAGCGAATATTACTGAAACTTGGACACATAAATTAAGTGCAAAGTCCTTGAAAATACACTCTTGTTGCAAGCTCTGGAGGCTGCACGCCAGCGGTTGACCGAATCTTCGTGGAAACATAGGGGATGTTTTTCGGCTATTACCAGAGCCATAGATGTCACCATGTGAACGTTGCTATCTACCTTGAACCATGAGGTCGAATTCTCAACCGTTTTTTTGGAATGAAGTTCCTCATGGGACGATGCGGAGGGGTACCCTAACCGGGAAAAACGTCCGCAACGTAAGATTTTTTCTATTTAGTTTGTTATAACAGATGTCGCTGCATGTAAATTCAACAATTCCGAATCGCCGTGACGAGATGTTACACAGTTGATAGACGTTCTCGTATTTCTCTTGATAAATCATACGTACATGGCGTAGGAGATACCGTGATCATGCAGGCGGTTCCCCCAGGGCGAGGCTGCTCCATTGTACTGCAGAGAGGTTGATCCTTACGATTATTCCCAAGAAAGAAATCATAATAACAATTTTTTTTTTATTGCCCTTGTAAGCAGATGAGCATACGGCCCACCTGATGGTGAGTGGTTACCGTCGCCCATGGACTTCAGCAATGCCAGGGGCAGAGCCAAGCCGCTGCCTACCGCAATAATTATTTTCTTTATACCTCGAATAGAACTTAAAATTAATATTCTTATAATAAGGAACTTCGTTCCTATCCGGTGTCCCACGACACCACACATCTTTTTATTGCACTTTACAAAGCGAAATCTGTATTTCTAAAGAATTGGGGTTAGCGGTATATTTGAGTACTGATATTTATTGTGCCCTCATTAGTTCAACGCTCGCAAAGACGCCGTACTCAAGTGTCGTTTTAAAGTGACTTGTTCGTGATGTTGTCGAAATGTGAATGAATTTTTATCGCTGCATTAGTGTCGCTCAGGTGGCAATTGTCAAAATGTCAGTAATTTTTTATCGCAGCCTCGACTTATGTGAAAATAACAACAGCACCGAAAAGTATTACTGCTTCACGACAGAAATAGGCAGGGTGGTGGAACCTACCCGTGCGGACTCACAAGTGGTCCTACCAGCAGTAATTACGCAAATTAAATTTTTTGCAGATTTGATTTTTATTACACAATGTTATTCCTTCACCACGGAAGCCAATCGTGAACATTTATTGAGTACGTATTTCATTAGAAAAATTAGTACCCGCCTGCGGGATTCGAACACCGTTGCATCGCAAGATACGTATGCTCTAGACGTCTTATCCTTTAGATCACGACGACTTCAAAATTGATTACAAATTCTACTAATATAAGAACATTGTTCATCCATATACGCTGACTCGATGGTGCACTTTGTTAACCCTTGACTGCTGGACTGGCGTATTCCTGTTTCTCTTATTCTAACCCAAAGATACTGAAGTCATTTACAACACTACTTTCAAAATTGATTAGACTAGTGGTCCCCCGGTAGTCGAAATTCGACTATAATTAATTGATATTATAAGTTTGTACACTATTATGATTCTATTGTCAAAGACTAGATACTTCTATAATCACAGATTTCTTATCCTTTAGGCCACGACGACTTCGAAATTGATTCTACTATTAACGCGACAGTTGTATGTTGTACTCTAGACAACATGACAGTGTTCCGTGTTTTTGGGTTTTCCTCGTGGCGTCGTTACTCGGGTTTAATTGCCGACGGCGCATTCGTGGTCTTACAGAATACCTTTTCTATTTAATTTTGCTATAATAACAACGTAACGGGACCGTGCCATGTCTGGAGAACCCGCAAAATGGATTTACTGTTTTTCGAAAATTGATTTTTATTCATGTAAAATTTACATTGGTGGACTTGGTAGGCAGCGGCTTGGCTCTGCCCCTGGCATTGCTGAAGTCCATGGGCGACGGTAACCACTCACCATCAGGTGGGCCGTATGCTCGTCTGCTTACAAGGGCAATAAAAAAAAAAAAAAAAAAACTTGATGCCTAAGGCATTCTCTAACAGTCAACCAAAAGTAGTGCAGAGTAAATAGTGGCAATGAAATTTATATTAAGTTACAAATACATACACAAAAAAGTATACATATACATACATACATACATACATATAATAGTTTATACAGTATTAACAGGAATATATTATTTATATTAATATATAATATATCATGTAATATATAATAAATAATATATAATATATGGTTTTGTACGTAGGTCAAGATTGCGTACAGTAGGGATTTGTGAAATGTCCTAACAGATGCAGCTTATCCGTTGTTATCGCTGTTGGCTACTTCTAGAAACTTCGATGGGATGATACTAACTTCACCGAACGTATAAGCGAGCTCACCTCACTCTGCTTCGTTGAATCTCCCAGCGGAATCGCTACTGATTCTGAAGCCAGCAGTAGTTAAAATACAGTTCATCTGTCCCCTATGTTTCTCACCATTTCTTCCAGAGATCGCGATTTCAATTCTCTTCCGGGATACCAGTAATCGCACTGATCCAAAGAAAATAATGCTTAATGAACATTTAATTATCTTATTGGTCTGATACGTAGTAATCTAATAATAATATAATAATAATAAAAACATTTATTCCAAACATAAATAACAAAAATTCAAAAGAATCAAAGAATGGAGAGGCTTGGAAAAGGTTAAGGGTTCAGGAATCTGTGAATGATCCATTCAAATACCGCTCGGAGTGGATATCTTTGCTAAAACTGTTTAGAGCTTAAGGTTCGATGCTCTCATATTTCAAATTGTTAAACATTATTCACATTGCGTATCGCGACGGCCAGCAGAGTCTATCGAGAAACTTGTTGTTCAGGGTAGGGTAAATGGTAAGAGATCTCGTGAACGTATCTCCATGCGCTGGACTGATCAGGTGAAAAACCTTACTGAAATCCCACTTTGCAAACTATGGAAAAAAAACTGTCAAGGCTTTAATAAGCCACGACGTCTCTGCCAAGAACAACCTACTATGATGATGATGATGATTCACATTGTGCCGGTTAGAGCTCTAGTAATCGCTTACAATCAAATTAAAAACTAGTCAGTCCGTCTTAATTAAACATATATATTATTATTAAAATAAGAAAAGTATGAAGATGACGTCTGAATGTACAGATACTAGTAGAAAACAACAAGTACAATCACAGTAATTGTAATGATCAGTTACCGAAATAAGGCAAGCGTTTTTTTTTTTTTTTTTTTCTTTTTTTTTTTCCCTATCTATGCTGATAGCCTTGAGAGGCTATTTCAGCTTCGCCCTAACGTTTGTAGGTGAGCTCGCGGGGCGGCTCAACCGGAGAGTTGCTAAGGCAAGCGTAAAAACCATTTATTTCTAAGAATAAGAACATATATTTGTGCTTAATAAAGAAAAAATACGAAAAGTTTATAATTAAATTTAATTTTTCATATTATTTTCCTGTCGGGCAAACATTCGTGTGATGTGTGTGTGTATGTGAGTTTGTTTTTTCTTTATCTATGTGTTTAATATCGATATAGGTTTTTTTTCTTGCTTAGATAGGTGGACGAGCTCACAGCCCACCTGGTGTTAAGTGGTTACTGAAGCCCATAGACATCTATAACGTAAATGCACCATCCACCTTGAGATATAAGTTCTAAGGTCTCAGTATAGTTATAGCGGCTGCCCCGCCCTTCAAACCAAAATGCATTACTGCTTCACGACAGAAATAGGTAGGGTGGTGGTACCTACCCGTGCAGACTCACAAGAGGTTCTACCATCAGTAATTACGCAAATTATAATTTTGCGGGTTTGATTTTTATTACACGATGCTATTCCTTCACCGTGGAAGTCAATCGTGAACATGTAATATATGATGTGTGCGGTCTTAACGCTTTGAATTAATCTAGACTCAGCTTCTGACGTCACTACTTGAAGACGGAGCGCAAATTGCCTCGTAGATTGAGCCCGGCATGCCTATGACGAACGACTGTGGATTCTTAATCAAAATTACTCTCGTGCGATTGTGCGTGAAATCAACCTTACCTCCCCGAATTTACCGAAAAAATGTATATCGTACACAGATTGTCTTTCGAGTTATTTAGAGGGAGTTTTACTTCAAAATAAATATCACCGTACTAAAAACAAGAAACATTTTTTTACAATAGGAGGTAGTCATTTGGATCCAACATATATCACCTGACTGGCACTTTTTACTGGTGGTAGGACGTCTTTTGAGTCCGCGCCGGTAGGTACCACCACCCTGCCTATTTCTGCCGTGAAGCAGTAATGCGTTTCGGTTTGAAGGGTAGAGCAGCCGTTGTAAATGTAATTTTCAGAGCGACTATTCGACTCTTCAAATCGGAACGCATTACTGCTTCGCGACCCCAATAGTTAGGATTGTGCCAAACGCGCAGCTCTTCTAACATGGTCTAATTAAATTTAAATGACTGGCATCCATGGTTATCACAACGCAAATTCAACCGCGCACCTTGAGATAAAAGACGTAAGTCTCACTTGTCAATTGGCATGCTATCCCCACTTTCCAAATCGGATGGCTTCTTTGCAACACAAGTCCATTGGCTTTTTTGCACATTTATTGGGTAGTTCTATGAAAGGAAGAGTACATGAGTCTAATTACTTCCCAGTAATGGCGGGAAACCCAGTACCAAAGAAGAAAATATTTTTGTCTTACGCCTACTACCGATAAATCTGATTTAACGAAGAATCTGTGACGAACAGTCAACATTTTCGGTATAATAATTGCCTTCAACTGATAAATTGTTTGTTTGTTAAACTTTAATGATTAACTCGGGAAATTGAATTTGCTTAGAGCTCAGGGAAGTACTTGTCACGACATACGGTCTCTAAGAACGATTACACCATAACCCAATATTTTATTTATGATAATTTATTCGTTTATAATCAGGCTTCGTGTGTTGTATATGTATTTTAAGCTATGGATTTAGTAGAAAAGGGTATCTACTCTAAAGGGGGACTGAAGGTAATCAAAGTTTTTCGCTTCGCCCCCCAATTCCTCAAATCCCCTTAATACCGTGTCATTTTGCTCTTTTACTGATTTTTATGTTTTTTTATAATGCTGATTAATGGTTTTTTTTTATTGCCCATTGTAGGCAGACGAGTATACGGCCCACCTGATGGTGAGTGGTTACCGACGCCCATGGACTTCAGCAATGCCAGGGGCAGAGCCAAGCCGCTGCCTACCGTTGAGTACTCTGTTTAATACTATTTCCCGCAAAAAACTTCTGAATGAATTTTGATGCAACTCTACAGTGTCTTTCTTTCTTCTTCTACAGTGTTCTACAGTAACAGCAAATAATACACAGGCTATTATAATGTAGTAATCAATTTACAACAGATGGTGCACAAGTAGTTTCAAGAAATGGATGGTTTTCATACAACAAGCAATAGTTACAGCGGATTGTGATCTGATTTCATTATAGCAGTCATCATTCAAATTAAAACTTCATTTCATTTTAACAACATGTCTAATCTATTTGACAAATCAACACTGCTCGCTTAATGAGTATTGATAACATTATTTTGTATGACCAATGAATCCACGAACTTGT